CTTCTGAACAAATCCCAGAGCCCTGGAAATTGGCCCACGTCATTCCAATCCAAAAAAAAGGTAAACCTACGGAGCAGGTGTCTTCATATAGACCCATATCGCTAACATCCACTCTAAGCAAAACTCTCGAATGCTCCTAAAACGCCTCACTGACTTTTCACTAAAGACAGGAATTTTTCACCCTTTCCATTGCGGATTCCTCCCATTTAAAGGAGTTGATTCAGTCTTCCCCATATCCATCATGAAGTCCTCCGGGCTCGGCATGAAAAGAAGTTCGTAATTTGCAGCTCACTTGACATCCACGCAGCTTACGATCAATGTTAACCAGGAAGCCTTAATCCTCAAACTCTTAAAATCAGGCATCACAGGTAGAGATGCCCTCTTTATTAATAACTTTGTCAAAAACAGAAAGATCGCCGTGCGATGGCGAAATTCGCTATCAGTTAATTTCAAAATGAACAGAGGTGTTCCACAGGGGTCAGGTCTTTCCCCTTACATTTTCATGATATACTTGTCTGACCTACATTCCAATCTCCCTGGTAACATATTGTGCCTTGTCTTCGGAGACGATATCTACCTCATTGCAGCCGCAGAATCTAGTTACGAAGTGAAACACAAGATGCAATTCTCTCTCCACCAAATTCAGAAATGGTGCAATGATTGGAACCTTGAAATTGTTTCAGAAAAAAGTGCCACCATTAACTTCTCCAGAGGACTGATAACAGATAATTTTAGCTTCAACATTGTCAATAAACCAATTCCCTGGGACCAAAATCTTCGAATACTCGGCCTATATTTCTCTAGCAATATGAACTTTCACTATCACTTCAAAATGTTAATGCAAAAAATTCAAAAGAAACTGTCTGTGCTCCACTGCATCTCTAGCACACGGTGGGGAGCACAATCAAATCACCNTATAAAGACCAACCAGTTTTATCCCAAGGAAATGATTTTTAGAGAAACTTCAGAGGGAGGAATAAGGACTATATAATAAGGACTAGGGGGACTATATAATAAGGACTATATAATAAGGACAATATAATAAGGACTAGGAATATATAATTTCGCTCCGCGAAAAATTAAATTCCTCATAAAATATTTTAACTTGTGCAAAAAACAATTTCAGCGGAAATTAGAGGGAAAAATGGAAAAATCTGAAAAAAAGCGGAAATCCGCGAATCCGCGGAAGAATCTCATCCCTGGCTTACGATCAATGTTAACCAGGAAGCCTTAATCCTCAAACTCTTAAAAGCAGGCATCACAGGTAGAGATGCCCTCTTTATTCATAACTTTGTCAAAAACAGAAAGATCGCCGTGCAATGGCGAAATTCGCTATCAATTAATTTCAAAATGAACAGAGGTGTTCCACAGGGGTCAGGTCTTTCCCCTTACCTCTTCGTGATATACTTGTCTGACCTACATTCGAATCTCCCTGGTGACATATTGTGCCTTGTCTTCGGAGACGATATCTACCTCATTGCAGCCGCAGAATCTAGTTACGAAGTGAAACACAAGATGCAATTCTCTCTCCACCAAATTCAGAAATGGTGCAATGATTGGAACCTTGAAATTGTTTCAGAAAAAAGTGCCACCATTAACTTCTCCAGAGGACTGATAACAGATAATTTTAGCTTCAACATTGTCAATAAACCAATTCCCTGGGACCAAAATCTTCGAATACTCGGCCTATATTTCTCTAGCAATATGACCTTTCACTATCACTTCAAAATGTTAATGCAAAAAATTCTAAAGAAACTGTCTGTGCTCCACTGCATCTCTAGCACACGGTGAGGAGCACAATCAGATCACCTGCTCAGAATTGTCAATTCTTGTATCAGGAGTGTTCTTGACTTTGAAAGACTTGAAAGTCACATCTTCTCCTTTTCAAGCCAACCGGCCTAGACACGCTATACAATGCTGCACTTCGAGTGGCTATAGGTCTGCCTAGATGGACACCTACCCCACTCCTACTCAAGGAAGCGGGAATGAGTTTAGATGGATAACCACTAAGAATATCCCCCAAGATGAAGTTATCAAATATCACCTGTTGCACGCCAGTAATTAACTTAGTAATTAGATTAAATAAAAGAACTTAGTTGTCTCTGCATGGCAACACTTTTGTGTAGTAGTCGTTTGCAAATAAAGGTACATGGTGTTTTTTCAAAATATACTGAAGTTGTGATTTAATTACGTTCACGCGAAATAACACCCGGTGCCGAAATACTCATACGAATCAGCGACTTGGAACTAAGCCAAAAATACTGGCAAGTTATTTACGAAACTATTACTATTGCGAATTTTGATCTCCGCGAAAGAAAAATGGCGACGAAAGGAGAACAAGTGTCGCAATTGAAGCGGAAACGAAAACTATTCGAAGTAACATAACTCGTTTCTCAACTGAAATTAACAACATGACAGAAGTTACTTCGAATGAAGATGTGGAATATGCGGTTAGTCGTTTAACAACTATCTTAAATGAAATGAAAACGGTTGATAATGAAATCCATGTTCTTTTTACGGATGACGAATACGAAAATGACATTACCCAATGTGAAACTTATACAGAAAGTGCGGAGCGCGCAATTTTTAAAGCCCGAAAAAACACCCAAAATAAATTATCGCCAACGATTAACGCCAGCTATAATTTTAATTAGGGCCCTGAAATTGTCAATTTGGCGACTAATTCGGTTATTAATCCATCACTTGCTGGTCAGATAACGCCTGTTAGCCCAACATACACAGTATAACTACCGATGATTAAGTTAGAACCATTTGGCGGTGAAATTGAAAATTGGCAAAGTTTTTGGGAACAATTCCAGTCTTCTGTAGACTCCAATCCAAATCTTTCAACTATTGATAAACATGTGTTCTTAAGAGGTTATTTGCAAGACGAACCAAGACGTTTAGTTGATGGTATCATTATTGTTGCTGCCACATGTGAAACCACTAAAAAGCTCATAATGGATAGATATTGGGACAAAAATAGAATTGTCCAAGCACATTTGGACTTTCTGGAAAATCTAACACCAGTACGCAACTTATCGGCAACAGCCCTAAATGAAACCTACATTGAATGTAATAGAAGATTGCAAGCCTTACGCGCACTTGGGGAGGACATTAACAGTTACGGTCGTGTATTAGCTCCAAAATTACAACAAGCGTTTCCAGACGACATTTGTAAACAGTGGATCATTCATGCCCAAAGAGAAAAATTGGCTGAAGGAAACATTATGAAATGCACCATCAGATCCCTATTAACCCCCCTGATATACCAAAAACCGCTGTGACCACCCCTTTTGGCCTTTTCGAATACACCGCAATGCCTTTTGGGTTACGCAACGCTGGGCAGGCTTTTCATCGTTATATTCACCAGGTCTTAGGAAAATTCGATTTCTGCATACCCTATTTCGACGACATCTTAATATCATCCTCTTCGGAAAGCGAACACATTGGGCATTTAAACCAAGTATTTTCTCGCTTAAGAGATTGCAGCCTTAAGCTGAACCCAGACAAATGTAATTTAGGAAAACCCTCGGTCAAATTCCTAGGTTGTCTCATAACTGCCGCTTTCGGATAAAGTAGAGGTCATTAAAAATTTTCCAAAACCTGTTACTATATCAGAACTTCGACGTTTTCTCGCCATGCTAAATTTCTATAAACGGTTCTGACCTCACGCAGCCATGATTCAAATTCATTTAAATAGTTTACTTACAAACTGCAAAAAGAACGATAAGCACCCTGTTCAACGGAATAATGAGGCCGAAAATTCTTATACTCAATGCAAATCTGCATTAGCTGCTGCTACAACCCTTTCTTACCCAACATCGGATTCGAAATTATGTTTAATGGTGGATGCCTCTAACATCGCAGTTGCAGGCGCATTGAATTGCATAACACAAAATGGTCCTAAACCAATAGCATTTTCCTCTCGTAAACTGAGTGCTACTGAAATTAAGTATAGCACCTATGGCAGAGAGCTTCGAGCCATTTATCTCTCCATTAAGCATTTTAAGCACATACTTGAAGGGCAATGTTTCACGATATACACAGATCATCGCCCTTTAATTTTTGCTTTCACTAAAAGTTCGAATAATTGCTACCTCGCCAGCTCAGACATCTCAATTTTATTGCACAAATCTCAACTGATATCCAGTATATAGCCGGTGCTGATAACATAGTCGCAGACACATTGTCTAAAATAAGCGAGATCGAAAATTCCACCATAGATTTAACAGAAATCGTCGATGCACAGACTAACAATCCATAACTCCAAAATCTTCTTAACACAACTCAATCATCGTTGAACCTTAAACCAATGACAATAACGAGAAACAAGAATATATATTGCTGCGTTGCCAGTGGAAAAATACGCCCATATGTTCCGCAGAACTTTCGAAGAAGAATATTTAAACTATTACACAACCTCTCACATCCTAGTATACGTTCTACCAGAAAACTTATCCAATCTAGATTTGTTTGGCCCACCATGTTGAAAGACATTTCGGGATGGGCCAGAAGTTGTCTGCGTTGCCAACAATCTAAAATCACTAAACATATGCACAGCCCGATCCAGAGTTTCCAGCTGCCTCGCCAAAGATTTAAGTTAGTTATTTAGTTATTTAGTGTTTTTGGCGCAAGAGCCAGAAATGGCTATACCGCACCATGAACTTGGTCTAAAGAACGAGTGCTTGGTTTAAATAAAAGGTCAAATTAAATTGAGTTATAAAATCCAATGTCCTTAAGGTACAACAGAAGATTATAGTGTGGTTTATCGCCAATAAGTAAATTTAAAGTAGGATTATTGTAGCCAAAATAGCGTTGTCTTAGAAATTTAAATTTATTGCACTGGATCAGAGCGTGTTTAACAGTTAATGGTTCATTGCAGCTAGAGCAATCTGGTGCAGGTTCACTTAGTAAGAGATGTCTATGTGTAATACGTGTATGACCAATGCGCAAACGNGATACGAACTTCACCGTATCACCCTTCAAGCAACGGCATAATGGAACGATTCCACAGAACATTAAAACAAGGACTTCGTAGCCACAAAGCTAAATGGACTCAGTCACTACCTCTCATTCTGCTTGAACTCAGGTCTACATTTAAGGAAGACCTCAAGTCCAACTGTGCAGAAATTGTTTACGGCACACTATTAAGACTACCATCAGAATTTTTGGAGGCTCCAACTATCAATACGGACCCCTATGACTTTTTGCAACAATTAAGAAAATCCATGCAGTTGTTGAAAGCCACACCAACATCTGCACATGGCAGCAAAGGCTTATTTATTCACCCATCGCTAAGCAAATCGACACATGTATTTGTAAGGCACGATGGCGTTAAAAAATCTCTTCAAATGCCTTATGACGGTCCCTACCTCGTTTTAAAGCGAACCGATAAGACCTATACATTGAACATAAATGGAAAACCGTCCGTCATCAACATTGACAGACTAAAGGCAGCCTTTTTAATAGATGACGAGCCTGATCACAAACAAACAATTACTCCCACACAGAAATTGGATCCACCTGTTCAACGGCCAGACACAGGAGCTGCAGACATCACAACTCGCTCCGGCCGCAAAGTACGGTTCAACCCCAGTTACTTATAGCCTCTCTGTGCTTGGGCACTTGGGGGGGGGGGTAGTACTGTGGTGGACCGTAACTTCAATAAATGCCAACAAATGGCGTCACTAGTTCTAAGAAAAAAACATTCTATTATTTACTCATTCCATTTTTTTACACATTCTGTTTATTCATATTCGAGCTCTAGAATTGCTAATTTCGATTTGTCAGTTGTATTTTTTATTATTATTTAAAAATATGTTTTAAAAGTAAGTTGTTTTTATTGTTCCAATAATTAAAGCACGCAACCTTAAACAACTTTAATTATGCTTTAAATAATTCCATTTTTGGTGTTCGATCTAAAACACCTAAAGTTCTTTCTTTGTCGAAGAACTATCAGAGGTACAAATTTACAACTTTTTAGCAAATTTTTTTGTGATAGTTTTCTGCCTTGAGTTTACATTAAATGATTAAAAAAGATGTTCTTCATAATTATGTTAATCTGTTGAAGCATTTTCATTTATCTTTGAGTTGACCTGAATTCTTTTGCTTTTTTTATAAATCTATGTTAAAGACAGCAGCGTTTCGTTTTTAATTACAACTTAGTGTTAAATACTCTTTTCCCTTTAACTTCATTTATTTTAATATTAAAATATAGTGTGTAAAAAGTTTTAAATAATGGAAATCTATAATAAATGGAAAGCTTTTGAACTCCTTATGAACGTTTAATAAGAAACCCATAGTCGGGAAGGCTTGATATTATCAAAACTTTGATTTTGGTATAAAAAGTTGAGAAATAGTACACGTTTAGGTGAAAATTTGCAAAAATCTTGTAACAATCCTGAAGCATAAGCAGTTTTAAAATTATTTGTGACAATATATAGCTTATGATCAAGTTCTAACTAACATCGTGAATGTTATTATTTCATGTTAGTTATTTCATGTAAAAATTCTGCTGTAAGATGTTTGAAATTTTCCTAGAATTTTTAAAATTAAAATATGTTTGGAAAAAAAACTCTAAACCTTTCTTTTTCATTTATTTGCAGTGGATTCCGTCCCACGTTGGTCTAGACGGGAATGAGATCGCTGACTCTGTGTCAAAACTTGGCACAAATGAACCTCTGCCGGAAAGTTTGGCACCCACATCCTCGGAAATTCACTCCATTAGAAAGAAAGGCGTCCAGCTAGTCTGGAATACTCCCCTAGTACATATCTGATACTCTGGGGAAAAGCCGGGTCGTGTTTTGACCTTCAGAGGTAATAGAAGCGATCAGACCGCGTTCACTAGATTTATCAGTGGTCACATTAATTGCATGAGGTATGAACAGCAGCGAAAGGTCTATCCCACCTGCAACAAATGTTTCTTCAATGCAGCCAGCCTTATCTACCCCTTAGCTGTGTGGATTTGTAAAAGGAGGACTTTCTGAGCGACCCGGTCTTGTTTTTTGATTTCCTGAGGGTGAATGGACTCATGGACCTGGTCTAGATCCGCTAGACCAGTGGGGATGAGAAACAACAACAACAAAATGTTTTCAAAACAATCCAAAAAATTTTGAATTTTTTTTTTTTTGGAATTTATTTTAAACAAATTCACCTCAACAAATTGAATAATACTGACCTTTAAAACTGTTTTATTGCAGGATATCAACTTAGGAAATGAAGTTATTCTTTAAAAAAAAGTGTTGGAAGTCTGTCATTCTGATGAGAATGTGAGTAAATTTGTTAAAAGTTTGGCTGTGGACATTTGAACTGAAGACGTCCTTTCAGAAAGATCTGTTTCCGGCATCCCCTGCAGAAATGTCAGAGGATGTAAGAAAAAAATCTGAAAATTATGTGGATAGGCCGGGTCTGACACCTGAAAATTGAATGTAATTTCTGGTATGTGCCATTCTGTATTTTTAAGAAAATGGAAATGGGGTGCTTTTGATCTTTAATGAGCAACTATCTTTAACCGTTAATTTTAACTTTCATTCTTAATTATCGGGGTTTGTCAATTATATTGCTTGACATGCCAGGGCATGCAAAATTACTGAATGGGCTTTTGGGGAAATCTGGAGAACTCTGTCAGAAATGACATAAGTAATAAAAAAAAGAGCATGTGTTTGGCACACTGACTTGCTTGGCAGAGCATATGAGTTATTTGTGTCATGCTATTTATTAAGGTTTGTATCAATACTTAAATTATTTTCGGAATTTTCTTTAGGTTAAATTAAGTACTATTAAATCCGAACCTTACTACTGATTCTAGAGTTATAGGATTTTACCAATTTTTGTCTGTTGTGACCTAATTTTCTTCTCCATAGCTAGAAAAATGCCGTATTTTATTCTTGTAAATTTTTCTTTCTTTTTTTTTTTACTATTTTACCCATTACTGTTTACTTGAAAAATATTGAAAACATTTTCATTTTTAGGTTTTATGATTTCAGAAATCTTTCTATGGATTCTGGTTTTGCCATTTTTAGATTTCCTGACTGGTTTTATTTTAGAAATGTAAAAATATTCTGAAACTGAGTATTAAAATTAGCGTATAGATCCGCAACCAACACATTTATGATAGTAAATGAATTGCAGTTAATGATTAGATTTACTTGTGTGAAGATAAATCTTTTAGTTTTTGCCTTGATAATTATATTTTAAGTAGATAAGATTGTTTTATTGTACTCTAGCTTTAAATCTCACTATAGCATATTCACTCTGTTTGCCATACTGTTTTCAACAAGGTTCTACTTTTTCTTTATTAGTTCAAATAGAAGAATATATGGCTAATAGAGGGATCGAAATAAATGAAAGATCCAAAATGCATGAAAAGAAGAAACCGTTACCTGATGGGAAAGATATCTGATATCCATCGGAAAAAAAATTAAGATTTCAATAAAAAAATTGTTAAAATTTTTCTTTGTCATATTTCATTAAGAAATTTATACCACTAATATTAAATTGCTAACAATTAAAATTTACTTACGTCAGACAAATATTGAATTTTGTTAATGATCCAGGGAAATAAAATTCATTTAGGTACCACCATAGAAATTTTTTTTTTGAAAAAAAAAAGATCATTAAGAATGATACATTCTACAACGTTTTTGTATAACATTTACAAAGTGTTTTTTTTTACTTGCACTTCATAAAGTAATAAGAAATTTTCATTGGAACAATTGTTCCAACAAAGAGATTCCAAGATACTTAAAGTGGAATATTTGTTGGGTTCAGCAGGAATAACCCATCAAAACAAGTTTCTATTATGTTGGACCATCATAAACCTGTCCCGAATTCCTAAATTGGGGTCATGGTGGTTCCAACATTTGATTTCCAAAAAAATATGATGGAAATTTCCGATAGTCCAACATGAACACACCATCAAAACAAGTTGCTATTCTTATGTTGGAACATCATAAATCTGTCCGAATTCCTACCTTAGGGTGATGGGTTACTTATGTTGGTTACCATTAAAGGAAAACCCTCAAAAATTTTGACTTGGGTATGTTCTCATAAAACAAATTGAATGCAATAACACAATCATGTAAATTAAAATAGATCTCTAACAAACTAAGGTATTAATTGTAGAAAAGAATAAATAAAACAATAACATTAATTAAAAATAAACAATTACTCAAATATATGAAGTAAAAATACGAATATCAATACGTTAATGAAGTAAATTGTAATTATTTTAGGAAACATAAAAATTTATAAATCAACTATTGTTTGAAAATTTTAAATAGGAACATAACGAACATTTTAAAATAATATGCAAGATTTTTCTTTTAACATTAAAAAGCTAGCTTTCATTTATATTCAATTTTCACGAGCATCAAATTATCATATTTACATCATTTATAATTAAATGAATATGAATGAATGAATATTTATGAATGAATATTAATTTTAAAAAAATTAATGAATATATGTTTAACAAAACTAAATAATTTAAAACTAAATAATTCACAAATCAGCTACCGTATGGAACAGTTCAAGGCAAGGTGCAACACATAATGACACATTACAGTGCTTGCATTGAACACGGGATTCCTTTCGTATACGTTTACCGTTTGAATCGAAATTTCTGCTACACATAAGACATACACGAGTTGGATTTTTTTTCTTTTTCTGTAGCATTAATATATGTATGGAAATGTCTACATGTGAGGCGGTCAACTTAATTTGGATTGGGAGCTGACTTCACGTTTCCATATGTTTTTAGCAGGTCCTCAATTAGTTCAAGATGAAAATTTAAATGAGTCAGAACACCGCCATTTTTTTATATAGCACATAGGCATTCCAAACATATTGGTTCAATATTTGGCTAAAAAACTTTTTGTACTACTTCTTTTGTTGGTTTCGAACTGTGGGGTATTAAGACATACATAGATCAGCCATATTAACACCTCCCATCGTCGAGTTGTAGTAGATGATAGCCTTGGTTTTTTTTAAAGACTTCTTTTAAACTTCCCCATTGTTTTTTTTCCCTGATTTTTTCTTGGTCTACAAAATCTATTGAGTGAATTGTGCTGAGCATCAATATAGGCTTTTTACCCAGGTATTTAAATACACAAATTTTACCGAGTTGGAAGTCTATAATTTCCATTTTCTTGAGTTTGTGACATTTCACTTTCTCAAGAAATCCAAGTCTATTTATTCTTAAAGTTCCATATATGTCGGTGCGCCTAGTCAGGAGGTATTCAGCAAGTTCAACTGACGCGTAATAATTGTCCAGAGTAACACAATATCCTTGATCGAGAAGATCCTTAATCGAGGTCAAAACAATCTTTGTGGTTGATTTGAATGCGGCATTATCAGAAGAAAAAGCAATCAATCACTATTGGCTTCACATAGCTGTTAAAACTTGAATCCAAATCTAGCTTCTTTTTTTTTGGAAGGTAAGTTTTGTAGACAAGTCGTCCTTTATACAGAAGCAACGACTCGTCCACTGAAATGTCTCTTTCAGGCACATAAAACTGTTCTAAATTTATCGTTTATATGCTTGTATACTTCATAAAGTTTCCATAAACCTAGTTGTGGGTGTGAGTCAGGATTATAGTTAGAGTTGTTTGTAAAATGAAGAAATTTCATCAAAAGGGAAAATCTTCTTTCAGGCATTATCTGTCCAATGTATGATGTGGTCAAAAGTAGTAGAGTCGACCAATACCATCTCTGTACGGGTTTTCTAATCACCCCATCAGAAATATTAGAGCAAACATCACTCTAATTTCGCTGGCATTAGTTTCTTTCCAGTCTCTTACTCGAGATCTTGGAGTTACATCATTTGCTGCCCCATAATCTTCTGCGAAACGTTTCGTTTCAGTTGCTTGCGATATAACTCACAGTATCATCATCGAAGAAAAGGCTTAAAGTATTCTACGGGAGATGAAGTGAACATCTTTTCTTTTAATCCTGGATTTCCCGTGAATGGGACCCTGGGATGAGGTGGTCCATGGTTATCCGAAAAAGACGATTCAGTATCCGTGTATTCATCTGAATCCATTTGAACGTCCACGCTAGTTAAAAAAGAATATTAAGTTTTGAAAATGTTTAAAAAATTTAATATTAAATTTTTAAGGTTAAAGTTTAAATATTAAGACATACATATTATTAAATAAATAAAATCTTAGGTCATATATATTGATAAGTAAATAAAATATTAAGTGACTATTAAATAATCGAAACATAAGCAGTGATACTGATATTGACTCAGAGTGCTTATTATTTGATATATTTTTCATTTTCTACAATGTTATTATCAACATATATCTGTATAAGATTCTTTAGCATACATCTACATTGCTCATTCTGCCTCCCAACCACCCCAAGATTGGCTGGCTATAGTGCCCTAACGAGATTAAAATATTTAGTTTTCAACATCGCCAAATCAGATAATCCAACAAATACGAATATGTGCACTATTGAAATACAACTGACTGAGATTAACCAAAAAATTGACGACATAAAATCCACAAATACTCCAACCATTCAGAGTAATCCACCGAAAGTTACACTACAAAAAGACATTTTGCAAAAATTAGAAGTTTCAGCACCTAAATTACCTTTCAAAAAGCTTTACCGTGATGAAAAACTTGTTGAACTGAAGTTTCTCAGTCATACGCAAAAGGAAAATGCAATAAAATCAGTAAGAGAAACAGGCCTAAACTATAAGGAAAAAGAAACAAGACTAACTTCGCTAATTTTACTGAACACACCAACGAGCTTCACAAAGGAAGAA